ACATTGCAATATTAAGATAAGACTTTGATAATCGTAAATTGTTTTATAATATGGTGATAAGGCACCGGCAGGTGATAACGTTATCAGCACGTAACCTGTCACAAACCAACACAAGAAAGTCTTGATAACGATTTACATTTGATATCACTGCTACTTTACTAATATACTAGTTATGATTCCAAAAAAATTAAACATAGTTTTTATTAAACTGAAAATAAGTTAAATGCCTAACCTTTAGTTATATTAAAAAGGTTATAATAAAGTCATAGAAAAAGCTTTTAAAGCTTTATGATCTCCCCGAGGACAGACATCCACTTTTACAGTTTTATTACAAAAAAGATATGCAAAAAACTAAATTTATCTTTTTATTACTAGTTGTCGCTATTCAGTTCGTGCGGCATCAAAAATTAATAACTATCCTATGTATTCTTCCAGACTATGTTCTATATATATGCCAAATTTCAGCGTGATCCGTTCACAAGTTCAAACAAACATACATCCATCCAAACATTCGCATTTATAATATTAGTAAGATTACTTTACATAGTGACGGTTAAAGTTCCAAGTAATAGCGGACTTTAATTTTAATACGTATTCAAAATTCTGAATTCCGCTAAAAAAAAAAAATACATAAAAGTTCTTGTACTATACAGTAACATAGTTTAAAAATCGTTTTCTTATCAATCTAATGATAATGATTGACCGTAATTGATAAATAATTGACTTTAATTTCCAACTCAAAAATACTTGTACTACAACAATCATTACGATTATCTAACCTTTGTTTCCGAGACTCTAAAACTCAATATAAAATATATCGTCATCTCTATCATTATCTTAAAATTTATCCAACGGGAAATTTGGTCTCAAAAACCTACGTTAATTCCATAATTCAACACTAGTAAAATACATAAAAAAAAAACAAACAAAAAAAACATAACACTAGGTACACTGCGTACATTCATGGCCTAGTTTTGAGCGCGCATTTCATCAGCAAATCAAAGCTCTTTGAATGCGAGTCAAAGCGTAGTCAGTAAAAAAAAATACTTTGAAAAAGACAACATTAAAGGCTTAATTGAACCATATCTAATATTATAAATACGAATGTTTGGATGGTTGTTTGTTAAAAGGTATGCAAAACGGCTCAAGAGATCTCGATGAATTTTGACAGATGTAAAACATAGTCTTGGAAGAACACATAGACTACTAAGTTTTTTTTTAATTCCGTGGTGACGGAGTTGCGGATACCAGTCAGTACCTTAATTCAACAATAAGGAAATTAATTGCTATCAAATATATCTTAAAACTAGTCGATTTATCTATCACCTTAAATTAAGGAAACTCGTTTATCGTAATTTAAGATAAGCCTACGATACCCATGGGCGTTGTAGGGGACGAAGCAATAATAATAAAAAAAAACCTTAATTTATTAATCCGTTTCGGGTTAATTGGATAAAACGGACAACGGAAGTCAATACATTTCTGTACAAAAAACATAATATTGTCTTTTCATTTATTCTCTTTAAAAAAAACAGAATGTTTTCTAGGACACGGCAATGGAAATGGCACGGTAAATCGATTTTATTTTACATTTTACAAAAGAAAATCTGTATATATAAAAGAAAGTCGTGTTAGTTACACTATTTATAACTCAAGAACGGCTTTACCGATATGGCTGAAAATACCTCCTCAGGTAGCTTAGGAGACGGACATAGGATACTATTTTTTAATTTTTTTTCGAATTTATGCCTTGAATATTATAAATGCGAATGTTCAGATGGATGTGATGTGGACGGATGGATGGGTGGGCTACACTAATTAAGTTTTTTTTATATATCCACGTGGACGGAGTCGCGGGCGACAGTTTGTTTATAATGAAAATTACAATTATGTGTAATAATTATGAACAGAATAAGGTATAGCGTACATATAAATATATTAATGGAATAGAAATCAAATCGTATATGCGTAATTTTACATTCGAATAGTCGAGCAAACTCTGATTACATTTGCAATAAATTGCCTAATTGGCATCAGTTATAATATTGTCTCCCCCTCCCCCGCACCTAACCTGCGCAAAATGATCCAATGATTCATGAATTACAACACAAAGTGAGATTGTTCATTTTCCAACCCTCTGGGGTTGTCTCCCCATCTCCGACGGGGGTCGGAAGGCACAAAGGCGGCTCGGGGCTTTGATCACGAAGCGGCATCGACACATATTTTTTTCCTATCTTTTATGATTTCAGAACATTGTTTGGAAACCGAAACGATACACAATATACAGAAATTTATTGAAAGAAAATAAATGTTTTTTAGAGTTTCATTTAAAATTGTTAGGTGTAATAAATTTATATTATTTTAATACTAGATTTAGCCCGCGACACCGTACAATTGAAACTTTATAAAAACTATATAAATAGCCTATATATTCTTCTCGATTATGTTCTACATCTATGTAAAATTTTATCGAGATCCGTTGAGCCGTTCTGGAGATACTTTCTACTAAACATCCATCCATCCATTTAAAAGCTCGCAATTATAATATTAGTAAGATTGTTACTGTATCCCTTGTACTGTTAGTGTATTCAAGATGAACCCTAAGTTACAGCTTTAAGATTTAAACATGTTGTTCTAGTTAGCCGCATTGCGTACTAGACGCGATCTAGACCACTGCAGCATTTGATGTAACCACACCATTATAACTACAGTCACATTTGAACAACTATTCGCGATTTTATTCCCAAGAGGAATGTTTTCTATCCAGTTCTCTTAATAACTTTTGATTTAGAACATGTCTAAGTTAACGTACTATTCATTGAAGATAGAAATTACTGTATTTTATTTTAGCTTATTTATTGGTTATTTAAAGGATTTTGTATTTATAAAATTTACTACAGACAAGTCGGCAATGAACGTGAACTATAGTAACCCAAAATAGGTTCCAAGTGCAACCCGAAACCACAAAGTATGCATTATTTACTAAATTTAATATTAAATATTTCTTTTTGTGAGAAAGGGGCACACGTCTACACGACATCCGTACTACTAGATCTGCATTGCCGACTTTTCAGATACAGATACGCTTGTTTCTTAAACAACCCAAAATCGGAATAGTTTGGAACTACCGCTAAGACTAGACCATATCACGTAGGAATATAACTATTTATTTCGTGTTAATTTTTGTACACATTTTTGTTTAGTTAATCATTCCCTTGACATTTAGCTGGAGGCTCGCTTTAGGCAGTATGACCACACATTGGTTACGTCATATCGCGTGCACGGATGTGAACACATTTTTACACCACTGAAACAAATCTGCCGCACCTAACCCCTAATAATCTTAAGTGTATATTTAGTATAACAAATTTACACTTAGCGAATGCTAAGTAACCATTAAATAACTGAATGTTAGAGGAAGTAATATTTTCGAGCACGCTAATGATTTCGTATTATTTTTTTCTTTAAATTAAAATATCGATATTTCGTAAATTGTTAAACATACCTAAATTCAATAGGTGTTTAAAATAGGGCTGTGCTTTAAGTTCATATTCCTACTTAAGTTAAAGTTGTGCCAACAATTTTATTGCAATAGGGATGTCACTTTAGAAATTATTTAAATTTGAATATTTCAAACTACAAAATTATTTATTTATCTAGTAACATTGTAACTCTTTTTCTTCTTTTTTGTAGTAGTAAATCCTGCCAAAATATGAACAGACTAATCTAAAATTTCCTTTGTGTCAATTTAATGTTTTAAATTGCTGTGTGTTTCCATTGACATACAAAAAATATTACAATCTCTTTATTCTTTTTAGAAAATGAGAGATTTTAAGATAAATTTTAGCAGTGGTAACACACAGCTAAATAATTTATTGTCAGTATATTTTGAGTTATTTCCTGACGCATAACATAGCAATTACAACTCAGAAACATCTGAATATTTGCTTTAATCTTTATAGCTATCTTTGATTTAATCATGGATATGTTATAACCTTATATAACCAACCTTTTTCAATATCAATAAAGCCTTTAATATTTGATATCTATTTTATTTCTCCGTCAACACATATAATAAGTATTTTAAAGCGATTAATGCTGTTAAAATTTTTAATATATCAAACATTTAACATATCTATGTATCATATGTACAAATAGTACATTTCACATTATATTGAAATCTAAAACATGCTTATATATAATCAATATCTAACCAAATGTAAAGATCTCATACTGTATACAGATCATTGTACAAAATAAACACACAAACTAGACCTCACAATTCAACTAACCACTTCTGACAACCTTGGAATTATTCACAAACAAGACAATCCACTACCTACTTTATTCCTTACACTATAAAGTTTTAAATCCAACGCATCTCTAACAAATAGAATCTCCAATGACCTTGCATGTCATCACCTGAATCGTAATGTTGAATACAAGCTATTACAACTCTAACATTTACTATATTTTCCTATTGTAATGAATGAAATGGTGCCACTCTATATACCTAATTACTGTGTACATTAATAAATCATAGAGGAGAATGCAAATAATGTTAATTTATCGATTTGTTAGTTTAGATGACTTTCAAATAAATAAAGCAAATTAAAGCAATCAGATGTGAAATAAAAATTTCAAGAAGAGTAAATTTGCCAGTAAACCAAATGATGAACGAAGTCTGTACATTAAAGTGATGATCACACCAACGATGCAACGACTAAGCCATGAGTGGGTCGGTGTGAGACTAGATACCGAGGCTCACGACATCGAGGCGAGGTTTGCTGTGCTATGGAGTTTACATGACGGAATGCACCGCCTACGCCGCATGTTCACACTCCGCGGAGGTCCGTATGCAGAGAGTCTGGACTAGGGGAGTCGTGAACAGCAGCGCAGGCGGCGCGTGAGCTCTGCGCGCGTGAGCCATGCGCCGTGCGCGCCACCAACAACCACAAAGCCGATGAGGAGCAAAACGAATGTACAGGCTGACGACTCACCGAAATGAGACGTTATATTGCCATGGCCGTTGGCCAGTGGCAAGGCCGTCACCAAGTCTTGAACTAAAAAACAACGTCCACCTTTAAACATTGCATATAATATAACAACTATAATTACTTAATCTAACAATCCTAATAATACCCGCCGCTTGATAAAACGGTACAGAAACTTTATTAAGTTTGCCTAACGTAACATTAGAAATTATCAATTCTTAGCGGTACGAATTACATCGAGGTAAAACATTATTTTAATTATATTCGATATTTCTTATCATTCTATTTCACTTTTCATACAATTTGACAACTTATTCCAGTCGTTATGGCTTTATTATCACTTAAATAGGTCAAAGTGATAACAGCGCTACGCTCTGATAAGAATCTTATTGGAACTTAGCTATACCAGGGTCGACTACACTATGTCAATGTTAATTCTGCTTGCCAAATACGCAATGAAATAAATATCTTACGATATCAATGACTAACTACTTACCCGAGCTAAAATGTGACCTTTTGATGTCTCCATTTTCAGAATCTCCATCTAGTGGTCGTTTTCTGGAGTCCGTAATTTCCGGACTAGGGCAAGTATCCATTCCCGTGTCAGCGGCCATGTTGAATTTCAGGGCAAAACTGTAAACTTCTCTAGCATAATTCCCATTACGTAATTGCTTCAGAATGCGTATACGGATGCGGCACTATGCATTACTCAAACATATTCAGATACACTTAACACTTAAACAACTAAAACGTTGAGGTTTGAAGTTTGAATAATCTAATACTAAAATATAAGGAGAGAAGTGACACTATATTTATTACGTCTAAATGTTATGTGAACGTTTGTCGATACTGCTCTGCGGCTGTTGTGTATGGCGCATAGCCAACGTGAAATTATTTGCAAATGCGGTCGCTTATGTTGGCAGCACTGTCTTTTGACAGCTCCCAGCTGATTACTATAGTGATGTGAAACCACCTGATTTTATGGTATTTTATATTTAAGTATTATTATTACACTGTGTAAATAATTTTATCAGTGGATTAGCAACAACATCTGTTGCACCAATTAGCCGGATCAGGCGTAAAGTGGTAGCAATTCCGCGTTTCGTTGGAAAGGGTGCGTTCCTGATGCCTAATTTTAGTCCCCTTTCCCTTCGCATTCTTTTCTTATAAGAAAAAAGATGGGAAAGGGAAAAAGATTTGACAGAGGTGGAGAGTCAAGTAAAAAAGGATATATCCCCTTCCTATGCGCCTTCCACCATCGATTATAGGTAGGCATCGAATATGTTATTGCAGTCGATGGGCAGCGTATTCGTTATTCTACGTATTCAGGTTGTGGATTGGTCGTTTGCCACCTTATGATAAAAAAAAATTACGTATTGTTACGAAATGAAAAGTTTTCAATGTAAAAATATTATATTCCTTAGCGCATCACTATTGATACAATACTGAAGGTCATTTGACAGCTACCGCAATCACTCGCAACTAATTTCACTCTGTACGCGTTTTTTATTTTCCGTTTTAAAAATAGGCGGTCTTTTTATACTTTTCTTATTATAACATGATAACATATTCGTATACACTTTAAACGGACGTAAAAGAATTATATTAATTATACTTATTTAAATGTTTTGGAAAATGACATTAGAATACTTACTAAATAATCTGCATTGATGTAAACTGGCAAAAGTAATTTTTATCATTAACCTAATTATACATTTTGTAAGTGTATTAGTTGGCTTTAGCTCAACATTTGAATAGAAACTGTGTTGTAAGATTACATCTAAAATCTAGGTCAAGGTACAAAACTTTTTCTAAATGCTTTTTGTAAAAAAGTGAAAGGTTATTAATCTTTGCTGTCGCGTTAATAACATTTTATTAAAATGAAGATCCAAAAATATAATTATAAGATTCTTGCAAGTGAGTAAGGAATACAATAATTTTTTTGTAAAGTTGTACGCATTTTGCTTTAAAAATTAAATTTAATAAATCCTTCATACTCTTTGTTAAGGATCGGATTGTGATAACTCCATATACAGGAAAAATAAGTAAACAATTATTCTTATAAAACTAATCTTTAATATATTGCAATTAATTGGGTACAAAATTTATTGTATATTAGAGATTGGTTAGCAAAAAACAGTCGGGACAAATCTTTATTTAAAATAATATAAACACAGATTTACATCTACATATAATAATGCAAGCGACATCAAATATTTACAATTGCAGTAGTAAATTATATATAAATTTGTTTACAATTAGATTTGATCATTACTTAAAACCAAATTTCTTCAAACTCAAAACACTTTAATATTTGATAGTCTTACTGCAAAACTCATCATTTTGATCAAACGGAGAATTCCATGATAAAAAATGATTTAGACTTTTTTTGTTTTGCTATTTAATCTAACACAAAATTAAGAGCAAAATGTAATAAACAATACCTTCCTGAATCTGTCGAGTAATTACAAAAAACAAGTATATTATATTTTAGGTGTTCCTTAATTCTTTTGATTAACGTCTCTTTATGATTACGTGCTTACTCCGGAACAGTCCGGCGATGACGTCAGTATTGGTATAGCCCTCTCATGTATTCCCATACGTTTGTCTCGCTCTGATGCGACAGCCGAGCATTGTTCGGATGTTCTATGACTAAATGAAGCCTATGTCAATTGAGAAATAAGGAATATTTTAGGTGTTAGTTACTATTGGTAATATGAAACAAAATTAAGTAAAATGCCTTGAAAACATCAAATATAATCTATAGTTTTCAGATATCTTAGCGGCTCTTAACTTCGAGTCGCTGCGCACACAATTATAGGTGTAGGCGAGGCGTAGCTGAATGCGGGGGAGGGCAGTGCACATCGCGCTGATGACCTTGAGCCACCAAGATATTTGAAAAGAACTATACCAAATAATAATAAATGCTTTTGATTACAGAGTATAAATACATTCACATTTATGACAAAAGGTAAATCATCTAAGCGTTGAAAAGGTTAAAAAAAAATATAGAAAAAAATATGAAAGGTAAGCTACAGAAATCTTACAATATCATGCACATATGCGTAGACTTTTGCAATTTTAATAATATGCAGTAACAAAAGGAACTAAAAATTGCGATTTTTGAGGAATTACTAAGCCCTTTAATACATATTATATTGCCGATTGGTTCCCACTGCCAAAACACCAATACAAAATATTATCTCAGTCTTCTCCAGGAAAATGAGTAGGATTACATTTATGACAGTGGAAGCCGACGATTTATGATGAATTTACATTACTTAATTATCAATATTACTTTTGTTATTTATAAGTCAAGAATGCCATTATTTTGTCGCAACAGTAATTCAAATCTTAAAAAAGTTAACCAATTTATCTTTATAAAAATTTGTTAAGCAAATAAAAAAATCTGTTTTTTACAATTTAAAAAAAATATTAATAAATGACTGTATCCCGACATATAAAATCCTCTTATGAGGTCCTCATTATCGTACCAATGGTGGTAAACTGACCACTTGACTAGGTATTAAATGGTAAGTCAACCACCAGGACAGTAACGGTTGGGTGATAGCTACAAACAATAAGAAGTAAACTCTTCGTTTTGTTCCTCCCGCTGTGGGTTTAGACCAGTTGTCAGCGTACGGATTAGGTGAAGAATAAGCATTTGGATAACCATAACTCGGTTGCTCAGGCCCTGGTGCACCTGAGAGTAGTTGTAGACGAAGAGTTTTTACCTGAAATATAATACGAGATTTTTTTTTATGAACACATTTTCTCAATTTATTTAAATAACATATTTTTAATTTAAAATCCAATTATTTGTATGTCCACACAAATCATGCTGACATTATATTATAAAAACAAAAGTTTAGTTTTATAGATGTTTGTTAGAAGGTATTTTTAGAACAGCTCAATGGATGTCAATGAAAATAAACATAGATGTAGGATATAATCTGGAATAACATCATCATCAGCTCACTTTACGTCCCCACCGAGGGGCCCGGAGCCTACTCTAAGTTAAGGGTGGAATAACATATGGGCTAGGAACTATTTTCTTTTAATTCCGCGCCGATGGAATCAGAAGCAAAAGCTATTAGGTTACAAAAACCTTTGCCAACATATTTTTAAACATTATTATCCTTTAGCGCGAATGACGCGCTTTCGTTACAAAGTCAAGTGTCAGAATGATTAGTGAGGGGACATAAATGTCGACATTTCAGTAAGACAAGTATTGCCAGTACACCGGCACAGAGTCGGATTTTCTTCCTAACAAAATGTTAACACATTCAACGCTACTGTGATTTAATAACGTGAAATCGGTGAATTAGTGGAACTGAAAATGTTAAATAATAGTATACTATGATTACTCACCAGAAAATAAGACAGAGCAAAACTGCTGTACACCAAAGAGCAATAATATCCTGTCTTTCCGAGTATCAAACCAGCGAGGAGACTACCAATCATAATAGTATATTTATATCCTGAATATGCCAGCAAATCCAAAGTTTTGAGGTTAGTTGTTGTATTTGTAATATACAATGTCACCAGATATAATATCATTTCAAAGATAATGTATGCGAGTGCACTTGACGCTTGTATACCAATCTGTTCAGGAGAAAATCTGTGCTGGAGACCTGGAATAGATTACACAAAGAAAGTTAACTCCTATACTCTAAGATGTTGCAACTTAAACAGTCTTTTAATTAGCAAATTATAAAAATTCATGTATTTTTTAATAAATAGTGTCGTGTACTTAAAAGGTTACGTGAATGTGTAGGGGTATGTGTAAATTTACAGATTTTAATATAGAAATCTGTGAAAAAAGTTCAGACCAATCATATAAAGTGCACACAAAAGTACATATTATACATGAAAAATTATCTCAAATGTACTTAAGGCTTAGTAACTTTATTTAAGATGAAAATTAAAGTGGTAAACTTATTGTAATAAGACGAGAGGTTACATAAACTAGGGTAAGAGAGAAACCTCTATAAGACGAAAATATAGTGGTCCCTTGGACTCTTATACAGATTTGACTATATATAAAAAGAGGAAAGTATTACCAAGCATGAATCCTGCTAATAACACATAAGTTACGTAGCCCATTGACGGTATGTAGAGATCTGGCGCGTTAATATCATATCGTGGTTGTACCGGTGTGTCCTGGTCATATTTCACCATCCAATCCTAGAAGAAAAATAAAAGAAATGAACTAGTAAGAAAAACATTAAAATAACCTTAAATTTGTGTATCGTTGTTTGTCGAATAGGCTAATTTTTAATTGTAGGCTAACGAAGTTACGGACGACCGATAGTTTTTTAATCAGGCCCTTCATATACACAATGATGATTTGCCAGCTCAAGTTGTGACCTTGACATAGCTTGCGAACAATTGGCTTTGCACATGATCTTCATAATATATATGATCAGAAAATTCTAAGATTTACGTTGGTTTATGTATCAAAGGTCTAAGTGTCAAGTTACCAAAGGCACAATCACACATCTAATAAAAAATCTTACCTACCTTATGTGTGTACGGAAAGATGATTAGTAATAACTTCTTTATGACGTAACGTGTGTCAACTGCAAAATAATATCGTAGTCGTGACACAGGTACGTAACGACCAATCTCACGCTGTACCACCTCCCGACCCTGAGCGGCCAACTGGTTACCATACTGTAAAGCCATATTCTGAAACCGGATGCAATAAAGTGTTTAGTTATTTATTCAAGTTCCTTATTTTGCTCAATGGCCGTAACTAAAATGAAGACACACAAATATAGATAATATAGTAGATGCCTATTAATTTTAGTACACAAATTGTGATTCAAGGAAATAAAGTTAATATTTCAGAAGGTGAAAAAGAAATGTAACGGTCAACAAAATTAATAAAATGTTGATATTTATTTAAAAAAACTGAGTACAAAAAGTATTGAGAGAAATGTTTACCTGCACTGCAGGTTGTTGCAAAAAGGAACCAATTTGAGCTGGTGACGCCATTGGTGCCTGACCATAACCACTTGCATAACTTAAATCTGAAATTAGAATGTTTTAAGCATTTTAAAAAGTTATTCAAAAAAAATACTATAGTTTTCTCTTTGAAAAGCACTAATACAAGTGACTTACTTCCAGATGGTTCTGTTGCAGCAAAATCCTGTCCATGATCTAATTCTATTCCCTCTTGGTATGGCGGTGGCGGTCCGGCAGGTGGATATCCAGGGTTGTACATCGGATTGGGGCTATACTGCTGAACCGGTGAGGGTGCCCCCATAGCCGAAACATCACTGACTCTTTTCGCCTTCCTTGGACCGCCTGAAAGACTAACTAAAGAAAACAAAATCTATTTATAAATCCTCAATTTCTGTTTTTTAATTAATAATATAATTTCGACCAACAATGATGAAGTGTTTTTTAGTGCAGACAAAATATCTCAAAAAGTAAGAATTGATAACATGTGATAGTAGAACAGAATTATTAGCAACTTACCGTTTCTAGAAGCGTTGAAATTCATTTTTTATAACAATATTAGGTCAAATGAAGTGAATTATCATAATAAAAGTTCGGTTAACTTAATTTATTTTATACTTTGATTGAAACACATCATCAACGTCCGATTTGTCTTATTCTGACATTATGATTTTAATTGACATTTGACATTTGACATTAAAATTGGTTCTACGCAGTTTTACGCAATTATAAATTGGGAATCCTACCGTGCGAGCACAGCGATTTGGGGTCGATTTTCTATATTATTTAGTTTTATTTTTAGTTTAGTTTAGTTTTAGTATATAGTTTATTTATTATAGTATAAATTAATTCATTTGTTTTGTAGTGGTTAGTTAGTTATTATAACTTGTTCAAGACCACTATTCTCTATACGGAGATCAGCGTTCAGGATACATATAAAATCTACCATTACCCTTCACGTTATGGACTTAAATCTTATTATTATACGAGGTAGGTCTCTTACGTTTTATTTGTATTTGAATAGGTCTTAAATCAATCAATTTAAAAATTTATAGTCTGTTAAATCTTGTTGTTGACAATGACAATTTGACATTGACGTTTTCTTTATTTATCAATTTGTCATCGGGTCAGGCAACAAATATTTTGATTTTGTGTTTTCTTAAGACTTTAAAAACACAAAGAAAGATTCATTTTCAGATTTTAAAAAAATGGCTCTAACAAATGTCCTTTTGTTGAGTCAGATTGCTGGTTACGTTATAGGCTTTATTTTGTCATTATGTATCATTGTGCCTATGAGCATGCATCAGGATGAGTTTGGGTCAGTACCTTTTTTAATGTTTTTAACTTTCTAGCTAAATTGATCATTTTTAACTGAGCATGTCACATTTAAAACCGATATTTTTGTCAACAGAGGTCACTGCCTCTTGTTCTCAAAAGGAGCATGGCAGGAGGAGGATGGACAGCTGCTGGTGTCTTGGGCTTCTCAGGCATACTGCAATTATGTTATCGCTATTGGTGTACTCATGTTCATAGTCTGTCTTGTACAAATATACAGGTATGTTTTATTTTTTAAATTTTATTAAGTACAGTAAAGTCGCAGCATGAATTTGTTTCTTCATTTAGATATAAATCTTTACCATCCAATGTTATTTCAGACTGTCTATATTCATGTACAAAGGACAAGACAGCTCCTTCCTGTCTGCATTCATAGAGGCAGTGGGTTGCATGTCTCTTTGTGGACTGGCTGTGTCTGCTGCCTGTATTGTAACATTGGGATTTATGAACTGGTGTCAGATCATTGTAGAGAGGTTCCCAAGGTAAGTCAGCATATTTTTTTCAATTTAACAATTAATTTCTAGACTTGTGTTAAGACAAATTATATAATAAATAGCTGTTGCCTATGACTCCATCCATACTGGATTAAAAAAAAACTTAATTAGTAGCCTATGTGTTTTTCCAGGCAATGTTCTATATGTATGCCAAATTTCAGCGAGATGCATGCAGCAGTTCTGGAGATACCTTCAAACACACATCCATCCATTCATCCAAACAATCACATTTATAAGTGTATTGAATGGTCTGGTTTTAACCTTCAACCATGGTATAGATGTCCATACTCATAACTTTATAATTAAGGTCTTGGCGAGTTGTGATTTTGTCGGTTTAAAAAATCATTTTGAATGATTATTCTGTTGTAGTTGTGAGGATGCTGCAGGTCAAGATATTGATAAGAGAGATAAAATATCCACCAATGGTTTCTACATTGAAATGGGAACAGCACAAGTAAGTATTAAATTAAGTTAATTACATAACTTAAAGGTTTTAAATAAAAAAAGAATGATTTAAAAAGTTTAACTTAATAATGACATTTTATTTATATAAATATATATATTTTTTGAGTACAATTATAACTGTGGCCTGCGACTCTGTCTATAAAGAAAAACTTAATTAGTAGTCTACATGTTCCTACAGACTATGTTCTACATCTATTTCAAATTAACAATTCTAACATATATTTGTATTTATAATATTAAGTAAGAAGTAAGATTTATATGTATTACAAAAATGTAATTTGTGTAACTTTCCAACAGTTTGGTGCATGGGGTGCATTTGCGACATGGGTTGGTCTTGCAGTATTTTCCACATTGAAAGTGTGTCGGTACCATCAGCTGCAGAACATCCAGGTCTCAATGTACAGAGAACGGCAGCGCTTGGTTAATGAAAATGAATCGCCCACAGCAGTGGAAGGCAGGTCCACACCTCCAATGCGTTAATTATTGTTGTAAGTGAAGACTTACTTATTTAAATTTACACAAAGAAGTTTAGATTTTTCATTTATTATAAATTAAACTTTTTTCAATATGTAAACAAAAGATTTAATTATCTGTATGTACTAATATTATAAAAAAAAGTGTGAAGTGATCAAAAGTAGAGTGAATAGGCACTTACTAAGCTAGCGTGTACCATCTTTCGACCAAATCTCCACTTCACCAGGTGGGATCGTGGTCAAGCGTTAGCTTATAAAACGTAAAAAAAAAAGTTTGTTTTTGATGTGTGTTGTTTACGTTTTTTTTTAATTAAAATGGTATGTGATATTTAATTTATAGTTAAAATACTTATTTAACGATACATATAAGAATTTTTTTATTGTAATTTATAGGTTGTCAGTGTAATTTTTTTTTTTTTTTGTAGAAAATAATATTTGTAATTTTTAGTTGATTATGTAATCTGTATAAAATAATTTTTAAATAATGTTGGCAAGAAAATGGCCATTCAGATATTGTTTGAATGTTCATTATGAAATTATTTGATGAAAATAACATTTTTCTTTACAAATTTGCCACAAGAATTTACTATTACAATATTTTTAACATTGAAATAGATTTTTTTTTACAATTAGCTAAAATTCCAAAGTTACTGCTGAATAAAACCTAGATTCATTTCTTACATAAGTTACAACGCGGAAAAATTGTTCATTTAAAAAAAAATTACTTTGTTTATTTTATTTAAGTAAAAAGTGATAATTAGTAGCAAATAAAATTATTGCGGAAACGTAAATACGTCACTTTTAAAAGGTTAAAGTATACTTTAACCTTTTAAATGCATTTTGGATATGAATATGGGTAATATCCTCGCTCAGTGGCACAGTTTACAGGCAAAGTTTACCTTGTCTGATTATATTTAGCAATAGACTTGTGGTTAGAGTGAACACAATAATTATGTTATAATTTATTTCTTAATGCCTTTTTATATGTAAAAAAGACATTGATATTATTTATTCGAGAATTAGTCTTTTGTATAAAAATATATAAAGTCTAATTCCAATTACAATGATTTTGCATTTGAAGAATAATTCACTTTTATATTTGAAAATTACAAGTTAATTTTTTTAACATCTTTAACTTTAAAATATATGATCTCATTGAAACGTTTCATTCATCAATTTTATGTAAATAATTTAATGTAACCAGTAAAATGTAATCATTCGATATATGTATAACATATGACACGTTGGAAATTGAAAATAAAATATTAAATATTAAACTTTTGTTTTATTAATACTATTTAATGATAACATATGTACAATATCACTACAATAAATGACAAGAATCGATTAAAACTTTAAATAATTACATAATAAAATAATCAGTCTTAATGTAAAATAATATCAAATAAATTTAAATTAGGAAAAAATTAATCTCCAGCGATGTATTCTTTATGTTTCTTGATCAAATGAGCTCGGAGGTACCTGAGCTGAGAGAAGCGATGGCCGCAGTGAGAACAGATATGGTGGTGTATGGTATGTGTCTTCTGATGACGACGCAGATCATCCACCACATTGAAGCGCCGGCCGCACGTCTGGCAGACCAGCGATCGATCCTCCGAGTGCCTCTTCATGTGACGCAGAAGATGCGTGCGCCAGCGGAACGAGCGGTTGCATTTACTGCAAGGCCATTTATTCATATCCAGGTGAATCTGCTCGTGGCCGTATAAGTTTGCCCGCGTGAAGAACGTCTTCAGGCAGTACTTGCACTCGAAGTTCTTCTTTATGCCAATGTGGATGACACTTATGTGCTGCGTGAGAACTTGCTTGTTTCGGAACTTTTTGTTACACATGTCGCATTCCACTTCCTCAAATCCGTGCGAACTTTTTACGTGATAAGTGTAGCTGGACGGGACGGTGAACACCCGGGGGCAGTACTTGCAGCGGCGCGGCTTCTTCTTCCTCTTGACCTTTAGTTTACCGACGCTCTCCATGAATATCTCGACGTTGTCGACCTGTTTGCTGGGACCGTTAATTTCGAGCGGCGTATCAAGGTCCTCGCCCACTTCTACTGGCGCAGGTTTGTTTTCTTTTTGCTTCTCTTGCAATTCTTTAATCGCCTTGGAAACCGCATTTGATATCTGTTCCTTACTGACTTGTGAACTCCTGGGTTTTCTAGTCCTTTTTTGTGTGGTTTCTTTTTTATCACCTGGTTTGGGTTTAGGAGTGCATGTTTTGTTGTTATTAGTTTGGCGCTTTTTTTTCTCTGTTGGCTTTTTCGTGGGTTCTGAATTTTTAGGGGTTTTCGCGGTTTCTGTATTTTTAGTTTTTTTTACGGTCACTGTATTTTTAGGTTTATTTGCGGTTTCCGAATTCTTAGGTTTTTTCGCGGCTTGTGAGTTTTTAGTTTTTTTTGCGGTTTCTGTTTTTTTAGCATTTACCGAGGAATTAGGCTTTTCAGTTTTTTCCGCAGATGGTGCATTCGTAACTTGTTTCGCAGGTCCTGTCGTTGTAGGTTTTTCCATTGGTTTTGTTTGTCTACGTTTTCTTGTGGGTTCTTCTTCTTCGTATACATCATCGTCGTCGCTTATGACGTATTGAAATGGATCGCGTTCGCGGAAAGGAAGCAAATCCTCCGAATGCATAGAGATCAAGTGCTCGGGGTAATCCTCTTCGCTTTGTTTGACGCCGCAGTATTCGCAAATTTTTCTATTGTCTCCTATACGCTTGTTGAATCCGATAGATAGCCCAACGAATTCTATGGAATCCTTACACCTGTAACAAATCGGGCTCGTCAACTAAACACTACGTTATTTTCTACTGATTTTAATCTACGCCGTGTGTTTTATAATGAGCGTTAAGTTGACTGCGAAGACGGAAAGATTTGCCGCAGGAGCACGTGTGAGCTTTTTCTCCTGTATGGACGGTGACATGCGCCCTTAGTTCCCCGCCTCGTTTGAACTTTGCACCGCATTTTATACAGCTGAATTTGCACTCTTGTTGGTGAATTTTCCGATGCATGCGAAGCGCCGCGCTAGACTTGGACGCTTTGCCGCAAATGTCGCAGACAAAGTCTCTGCTCTCCGAGTGGGATTTCATATGGTCCCGAAGGTGAGCGTTCCTTGAAAAGGTTTTGTCGCATACGGTACAAGAGAAAGGTCGGTGTTTTGCATGTATGGCTTTGCTATGACGAGCCAGATTTCCGCTGTCATTGAACGCTAGCCCGCAAGTATGACAACTGTATCTTTTCTCTCCGATGTGCGCACGCATGTGCCGTTTCCACGATCCGATTGAAATATTTTTGCCACAAATATTGCAGTGAGCGTACTTTTTCCCATTTTCATTTGTTATTGTAAGGGGTTTGATTTCCTTCCCTGTGTCAAGGGAGACGTTATTTTCGAGTTCATTTGTATCCACTTCTACTTCGACCTTAATTTCTTTCATTGTTATACTGAAAAGAAAATTGATTTCTTTTTATTATTTTACTTTTATAATTGTAGTACGAATACTTAAATTATACGACGGCGGAATAATCACTGATACTGTCCAACGTGATTAAATACAGAATCGTTTACAAGTTGTTTGGGAGGTTCGCTTTGATGTACTCTCTTGTAGTGGTGTTTGAGCGCCCGCAGTTGCCTGAAGGCGGCGCCGCACACGAGACAGGCGTGCGGTTTGGGATTGGTATGGGCGAGCGCGTGGCTGTGAAGGTCGTGCTTCTGTCGGAAGGCTTTGCCGCAGTGAACGCACACGTGGGGCCGTTCACCAGTGTGCTTCAACCTGTGCCTCGTGAGGCCGGATCGGAGCCGGAACTTAGCCCCGCACTCGGCGCACTGGAAAGGATATTGTTCGCTGTGAGTTTTCAAGTGCACATGCAACGACCCACTCTGAGTGAACCGTTTTCCGCAGTGCGAGCAGACGAAGGGCCGCTCTCCGGTGTGGATTCGTAAGTGTTGCTTCAGATTTTGCGTGTTGGCGAAGTTCTTAGGACAGAAGCTGCAGGAATGCCGGCGCAACCTCTGGTGCGTCTCCGTCAGATGCCGTTGCAAACCGTTTGGAGTTCTAAACTGTTTGCCGCAGACGTGACATACGCACGGTCTTTCCCCTGTGTGAATACGTTTGTGAAATATGTAAGTGTGCACGGTGCTTAAATTTTTGTCGCATATTTTGCATGCAAAGAAAACCTTTCCGTCGATTTTTCTTTGCACATCGTTTAATTCCAGTCTAGTTTCTTCGTCCATTTTTCCTTTGCGCATATTCCATTCGGACAAATCGTCAAAATTGTTCATATCTTCATCTCCATTACATCCATCACTTCTGTCCTCCATTATTACTTCGGAATCACTGGAGTCCGAAAAGTCTAAGTAATCGCTCGTATTTTTCTCGTGTTCTATCACATAATGATTTCTAAAATTAACTAAAGCATTATAGAAATTTTTATACAAATCGTTCGATTTTTCATTTGCTATCGCAGCGAGAGGACGATCATCATTATCAGAGTCGTCACCAACAGCGACACTTCCACTAGATGTAGATAAAGTATCCAATTTAATATTTTTCTTAGAATCGTTTATAATTTCATTCTTATAAAGAAACCTCGATCGATATGTACCCTCGTAATTACCGCTGCTGGGTGTCCTGCAACAAAGAACCCAGGTTACTTATTTCTTCCTCCTGTGCGTATTTAAATGGTATTTGAGATGTGTGCTCCTTCGAAATTTCTTTGAACATATGTAGCATTCATAATTGCGAACGTTTAAATGTATTTCCAAATGGCGATCCAGTGTATTTTTTGCGCGGTAAGATCGGTTGCAGTATTTACAGGTGTAGGGTTTGTCTCCTGTATGGATCCTCTTGTGAATATCACGAGCGATCCTCGATGGGAAAGCTTCGCCGCAATACGAACAAACAAAACTTAAGATTCCTTTGTGTGTGATTTCCTGGTGACTCTTGAGACTGGCCTTACTCTTGTAAATTTTACTACATCTATCGCATGGGTATTTTTCTGTAGCATCTTTGTGATTTTTCATATGCATAAGCATGTTATATTTGTTTGAGAATGTCTTGTTACATTCTGGACACACCGCTGGTATATACTTTTGCCATTTGTCACGATGTTTAACGTCTTTGTTTTGTACATATTCATCTTTGACATGTAACTTTGTTATGTGATCTTTTAATTCATCTTTGTCGTTAGCAGTGAAGCCACAACTTCTACAAGAGTTTGATTCATTTTTCTTTTTCACATGTGCTATTTCCAGATGTTTAACAAATAATTTGGTATCGTGATATAAAGTGTCGCAGCAGTTAACTCCGTCTTCAATGCAAACCTCAATATGTCGATTCAAATGACAGATGAGACGTGTTGGGGATGAAAAGGAACTTTCACAAAAGGGACAACGAAATCTTTTTAATTTAACTTCATTTACTTCCTTTTCTGATTCTACATCTATTGTTGGATCCTCTATTAACATTTCAACAATAGACACATTTTCTTTTAAGAATGTTTCTGTTGTTAATTCTTTACAATCATTATTATGTTGTGATCGGAGATGTTCAACAAATCTATTCAATGTAGGTAATTGATTATCACATGTTTCACAAAGAAATTCTAATCCTGAATTCAATAAATTTGCATCAGCTATTTGGAATGTTTTAATTATAATATCTCTTACATTTGATAGAGATAATTCCGCTTCTAACCTGAAATAGTGTTTACGTAATTTTTTATTTATGAAACCCATAATGTTGGATTTCATAAATAAATAAAAAAAAATACAGATATACTTACTTTCCTTTTGCTCTCATTTCATATATTTTTTCATGGATTTTACTGTTTTCATCCTGAAATAAAAAAATATTTTATATTAGACCATCGATTGTCTCACATCAAGTTGTGTTAAGGTACAAATAATTGAACAACAAACTTCAAGGAGTTCCGTAAGCTTTTTCTTGAGTGCGGTATCAGCCAGCGTACAATTCTGCACGAGATCATGCCAGGATATAAGTGTGCTGACACATTGGTAACAAACCACTTGGGGTAATACATCCTCTTCTGATACCTGTTGTATAGAGAAATAGTTAAAATTAAAGAAAAAGTAGTTTTCACCTAATTAACAATACGGTAGCGTTTTTGATATAGCATCTACGTGATAAGATCAATTTGGGGAAGGGGGGAATTCAAGTCTTTTTTATTTTTTTTTCTTGTCAAATATTTCTTTCGAAAGTTAATTACCTGAATGGAAAGATATTTATGTATTTTCTCAGCTAATTTATTCTGTAAACCTTCTCCTATGAAGATTGGTACAACAAATTCTGTAACAGCTGCACAGGTTCGACAGACATTTGTAAAATCTTCAATATCTGAAATAAAAAAGGTTTTTATTCTATAACAATTAGTTACAATCATTATAAATGCAAATACTAAATATTGTTATGCAATTGCAATGCAACGCAAAGCAAGCTGTAAACCATAATCTATTACGAATATGGTCTTTTTCATTATGCAGTTAATATTATAAACATTTTTGTGTAACTTAAATACTTACTTTCGAGATTGATTCGACTTGTATCAGGTTCATTTTCATCTTGTGTTTCAGCTTCTTTAGAATCTTTAGAAGGATTTGATAAAAATATTTTTTCCGTGTCGTTATTCATTGTACTTTATGTTAGAATTATGTAAAAAAAAATATCTACAACAAACTTTTGGTACATTATGTTTTGAATAGTCAATATTTTGACAGAAGGAAGTTTTTGAATCAAAGAGTACTTATGTCAAAGAGTTATTGATTTTTTAAAACGTGTTACGTTCCATTATTTCAATGTATTTTTTACAAGATTTTATGGAGACCGTGTTGTTATTTAGTAGACTGAACTTGAAACTTATTTTAAAGTATATTGTACTTATACACAAAAGCTTCTGTTGCCTCCGTATAGGTACCGAAACGAAATAACGAATCTTTTCAAAAATCAGTTGAACCGCCTCCTTTTGTCTCCTTCCAGAAAAAAAATGCTCATCAAGTCTTTATTTATTTTCAAACAATAAATATTTACAGATTAAAATTATAACTAATAGAATTAAAAAGTAGTCTGCATTTGCGTAATTTATGTAAAAGAATGTTAATTGTGCGTTGATTTTTTGAACACTGTTCGACCAACTGTTGCTACGACCGCAGGTGTCACCATCATCGTCTTAGCCTTGTACGTGTGGATCACTTGCTGTAAAAAAAACAAAAAATAAGTTAGTCTACGAATATCAAACATATGTAAATATAACAATTTCATGTTAATGAAAATATTTAACAGTCGTTGACGTCAGGACCAACATCTGTTGCACAAAGGGACTGAAATGACCAATGCAACTCCACGACCACCGCGATTCGTCTGACGTGTCTGTGCAGAAGGGCTAAGTTTACTCCGCTTTCCCTTCCCACTCTTTTCTTATAAGGATGGGAAGGGAAAGTGGATTTAACGCATAGTATGACATCTTATGATATAAAAAGTACTGATCGTTAGCACTGTACGACCATTCATCTGTCCTAAAACGTACGCAACGCATCGTCTTTTGGAGATGTCTATGAGCAGCAGTCGTTTTGCTTTTTAGTGAAATCAAGTAATCGCTTGCCCTTTTGTCACCTTATTCTTAAGAAAAAAGTATACTTCGTACCAATACCAGTTTGATGAGGAAGACTGCAAAGGTCAGGAATGATATGGTCATGAGCGCGCTTTCAGACGAGGGGAACTCAACGTGACCGCGGGATTCCAACCTCGCGGCTCTACGCCGACGGCGGTCGTCTGCTTCATCAGGAAATGCTGAGTCTATTCTAGCTTCTAAAAAAAGACAATATAATATCTAATCTGTGGTCGAGTATATTATTTATTTAAGGTTTTCAAATATTTCTGTAGTTAAATAAAACTGGAATTACGTCTTTAATAACACAATTGTATAAGTGCATAGAAATTGTTAAGAAAGAAGGAGAAGTAAATTAAGTCGTTTACCTTGAACGTAAAGAAGCGAGGGAAAGTATTAAAAGAATCATGAAATTTTTTATTACCTATGTTCGCCATTAAAGTATCTCTTAGATCTTCTAAATATCTAATTTTGCTTTTAAAAGTTCTTCTTGTCCCGTGTTTAATAGTTTGCGAAACCACTTTTAGGAATTTTATTAGCGTTTCCATTGGATTAGTTTTGGTTTTAATTTCATCCTCATTGCTTAAGTTTTTTTTGGTACTATTATTTTTATAATCTTTATTGGTAAAATCCGGACATGGCGTAGTTGCATTTTCATGAATATTTTCCTTAATATTCCCTACACTTTCCTTTTTAATAACATTTTTAAACGATTTTATTGTACTGTTTAAGTTTAGCTTATTTTCTTTAGCATCAGGTCGATCATAATTGATCGTTTCAAATACTTTAGTTACACTTTCTTGTTTATTTCTAGAAACGTTATCAATACGTTGGTTCATCTTCGTTTGATTACCGTAATGGTGTTGACTTATAGTTTCTTGATCCTTGATATCAGTTCGTTCGAGTTTTTCGGTAGAAATGAAGTCTTCACGGTAAGGATTTCTTTTTGTATTTCCTTGTATTCGTTCATTTGTTCGTATTCTTTTGTCGTTCGGATTATTAATTCTATGGACGTGACCTTTACTCCATTGATGCTCCACAATTGACTGATTACTGTATATATTTTTGCTTGTAGTATAATCATATCTAGTTGGTTTGTATTCTTTCCGATAGTTCTGTGTTATTTCGACCCATTCTGTAGCCACTAGGAGCGGTAGAAGTATGAATACTATCATTTTGAAAGATGTTTTGTCTGTTTACATATCCTTAGTTGTGAACTGTGATGTTACTAACGACACGATTATGCCACACAGTTAAGTCAGGGGTGTAAAATTTTGGCCGGTTTTTATAAAAATCTTACGATGTCCCTTTTATTGGATATTGCGGTTATCTTATATATAAAATTCTCGTGTCACAATTTTCGTTCCCATACTCCTCCGAAACGGCTTGAACGATTCTCATGAAATTTTGTGAGCATGTTGAGTAGGCATTAGAATCGGCCAACATCTATTTTTAATCCCGCGCGAACGGAGTCGCGGACGACAGCTAGTTTTCAATGGGAGACCATAATATTTTGGTATTTTTAAAGGAATTAGATATTTTATCGATTAGAAAACAATATAAAGTTGTAATTGAAGTATTGTTCCAATGTATCAGAATATTTTTTTCGAAATGAGAAATTAGGTAAATTTTAATTTGTATTTGGAAAAAAAACTTAATATCCAAAGGTTGCTAACTCCTGGATAGTCTAAGAGCTATAGTGCAATTATCCGCTCTATGCTCAAAGTGAACCGAGGCATAAAACCCTCGTCACCGTAACGATAAAGACACTTCGAGATGGATTTCCATTGTCTAAACACATCATACTTCTGATTGTCACTGGAATAAATAGTATGAAATATTTTGAAACAGTCAACAGTGGGAATTGGTGCCTAAGCCAGGGATGGTGAACTAATGGCACACATTTAACAGAGGTAGAGCCCGCTTGAACATCTTCGCACGAATCGGCCCGGCTCGGCCGGTGAAATACCACGACCACACAGAAGACAGGCGTGAAGTGGAAGCAATTCCGCGTTTCGTCTAATGAGTGCGTCCCGGAGGCCTAATTTAGTCCTCTTTCCCTTCCCACACTTTTTCTTATAAGGAAAGGATGGTAAGTGGAAGTGGACTTTCCGAATGAGATGCATGGGAAGGGAAAATATTTTCTTTCTGTGCATCCTCTCCTCCGTCGATTAAAGGTAGTCAACGCATGTGCAATTGCGTATGTCTATGGGCAACGGTCGCTTCGCTATTTCAGCGATTTCAGGTGGCCGCTCGCTCGTTTGCCACCTTATGATATAAAAAAAAAATAGTCAATAGGTCTATGCGTTTGCCACATTCAAAAAAAAAAAGAATTTTGTTTATTTTGGGTTATCATTTCTAGTTGTATGTTATGATAAATGAGAAATAATATAAAACATTGGATAAGTTTATTAATGATATAATTATTTGTGATACATTCATCTTGTAAACTTAAGTCATTTTAATCTACTACAAAATGGACTGAATTATAGAACAACATATGTATTTTAATTCTCGTAAATAAATTTAAATTTTTCTCTGTTCTGTTCTTTTTCTTCGTTCTGCGTCATTCGCTACAAAAAAAAGTGTCAAATACAAGTTACATTTATTTAAAATGCTAACGAACCTATTGTTTGGATGGATTTAACTGACAAAACCAAGTAAATAATATTGTTCTATTAATTCAGCCTTTCGGAACTGTGTATTTGTACGTGCTGGCATAATATTAAAAGTTAAATTTACCCACTGCAATATATCACGGAATCCGGAAAAATTATTGATGTTTATCATAATTTTTATAAGATTTAAATACGTTTTTAATCTGTAACTTTTTTGACAGATGTTATTTCTTTGCAAATATTTACTTAAAACGTACTCAAATACACAGTTCCTTTATAAAACATTAATTCACATTAATTACAAAAGTCACTACGACAACATCTAACCTTAACGACAAAATATAATCTCGTATTTGTAACTAGGATTCCACAGATACTAAAATTATGAACTATTTATATTGTGGTTGGTCCAAATGTTTTTAATCTATAATTTGTTAAAAGGAGAAAGAGAGAGTAATACTATGAAGGAAAGAGACAGGAATAACAAAAGCTTCCCGCTTTAAAGAGATTTGTAAGGATTTGAATATTTTTTTATAGATTCTTAAATTAAAACATTAAAAAAAACAGCAAAGATGACTATAGATTAGATTATAGGCAATATAAAATTATAATTAAAAAAAATACTTAAAATTATTATTTTTTTTAAACGAGTATGTAACTTGTATAATTACAAAAATCGAACTGTTTTATTGTATAAAAAAAACTTAATGTATACATTTTCAAAATATTTTGCATAAAAAAAGAGATCACAGTAGTTGGAAGCTTGCATTGCAATGTATTATTAAATATAAAAAAAGTAAAAAAAAATCACAGAATTAATTAACAGAAACTGCAAACTAAAAAAAATATACTACATTAATCATATTTAATATGAAATTAAATAATTTCTGTTTAAATATTTATCTTTAATTCTTGTTTTAAATATAAAAAAAAATCTATTAAATTAAACATAACTTGGCATCGGTAATATAATTTCAACTTTTGTAAATGCCATTAACAAATTAAAAAAAAAAAATAACATTATTTAAAAAAATATATTATATTATTGGCACTATTTTCAATGTCAAAATTCTGTTAATAAACATCGGTTAAGTCGATTCGAATTAAATTTGTAGAAATTAAAAATAAATTTTTATATTCAATTTTAAATATTGGCCTTAAATTATAATTCGTAATTAAGACTGATAAAATGGCATTTTTCGATATTTTTTTAGTATTTAAACATGTACGTAGATTTATTTTAAATTCTTTTTGCACCTTCCAATAGTAAACTAGCAACACTAAATCTTTGCAAAAAACATAACCTAAAAATATCTCGCGTAAATTTTAACAATAAAAAATATTGGTCTTTAAGAAATACACATTGATTATTGTATTTTTTATAGTTAAATATTTTACCTACATATGCCATTTTATTAATCTGAATCTAGGCATAATATTTGACACTAAACTCTTGGCGGTTTGTCAAAATAAGACTAAGTAATTATTTCATACATTAAGTCACGTTAAAACAATCACTTATAATTAACCAGTAGTTTCCACTGCTTACTTATCTCTCGACAATGTTTTTATACATGTTTCAGCAATGGAAACAAATACAATAAACATTCTAATGCAATAATTTCACCTTACTATAACTACTTAGGCCGTTAACAAGAGATCTTTGTCCCAACTATCTACTTATGGCCTTGGAAATACACTGAAATTGGAAAGTTTTTTTTTATTATAGAAATTGTTTTTAAGATTTAAGAAGAAAAGCTTTTGGAAGACCTGAAATATTTTTTTTTGTATATTGTAAGAAATATTAAGTACAGTATAAAGAGAAAGATTCTACTCGTATATCGTTTATGGACTTATTAACATTTATGTACTTTGTATGAGAAATTTATATTTTTGTGTACTTGAAAGGCCTTTTGTAAAATGTATACTCTTGGTGAGATTACTACTATAATTTAATTCACGTTACTATTTAAAAATAAAAAAAATTAAAATAAAACCTTTTTTGCACGAAGGAATGTAATATATTTTTGTATTAAAAAAAATATAGAACGTATAACTTATTTTTTAAAAATCATCTATTCTTTTTAATTAATTATTTTAATATAAAATTTTCATAATAGATTAAAAATGTAAAGATATAAAAATAAATTAAATTTAATAAAATTTAATCCGTGTAATTGTAAAATAACACATTTTAAATAACTACGAAATTTTTTAATAATTATTAATAGGCCTTATAATTTTGTACTTATGGATTTTACAAAGTTATTTTTTTAAAATCAAAAAAGCAATAAAAAAAATATATAGAAATGTCAACAATTTTATGTCATAAATCCTAACCTGACATTTCGGTTAAATATTTATATTACGTTAAGATCTCGCCATAATTCTTAAGTACTAATAATATGTAAAATTATTATTTTCGTGTTAAAATTCTTAAAATTAATTTACATACTAAAGCAGCCATAAACCTTGTCAATAGAACAAAAACTAAATAAACATAGATTAAGTAAAAAAAAAGCTCTATATAAATGTGTATGTGGCAATGCCCCCGCCAAAACACAACCGAACCAACATTTTTAATCTTATGCCTTTATTTTATAAAATTTGTGAATTAAATGATATAAAATTTATTAATATTACTTAAAATAATAAAAAATAAAGGCATTTTTTTAAATTACTGTCTTGTCAGAAAAGAGTCCTAACGCTTCAGTTTTACTTTTACTAATATAAACTTTAAGCTGCGTTTTATTGTTCTGGACTTCTTCGCAACGACTGTGGCTTTGCTGGACCTGGATAAAATTAAATATAAATTTAATTACAGTACTTTGAAGTCATTAAATAGTTTCCCTCAGTAATCCCTCATTTAGTATGAGGGATACTAAGGGAACTTAAGGGAAATCCGTTGTGATCATTAAGGGTCTGAATGTACTAGTGATTCTTACTTTTTGATTACGAAAGCCTATGTGTTTTTTCTTTACTACTTTTGTCAACAAAAAATTTTGAGTAATTCAACTCTGCGTAGAACGATTGACCTTGTCAGTCTTTTTGTCCGCCTTTGTGTGCGCATACGCGTGTGTGCTAGTGAATATTTGTACGTATGTGTGTGGTCGTGTATGTATACTTGTGTGTTTGTGTGTGTAGGATACTGACGCGTCACTGTGCGGGGCGGGTGCGGGTGCGGGGTGCGCGCGGGTGGTGCGGGGTCACTGCCAGCGCGCGTCATCACTGGGATGCGTGAGGTAGCGCGCGTTGACGCGGCGCTCGAGCGCGCGCAGATCGAGCCAGGCCTCGCGCGTCTGCAGCCAGGCGTGCGCCGCGCACTTGTCCACCGACAGCCGCTTGCGTTGCTTCACTTGCAGCAAGTTGTTGATCAAGTCGATCGCTAAACAAAAATAAAAACAATCGTCTTTGGTCTTACATCGTTTATTTTGAGTCTATGAATTTGACAGGAGTATTATATGAATAATCCTAACAGACTTTGCGACCTAGTCGCTTGTCATCATCTCTTAAAACAAAAAAAAAGTTTTTAAATTCATGTTTATTACAAAACATACTGTATAGCTTGAATGTACGTGGTTTTGGAAATATGGGAATGGAAAAGTGAGCCGGACCACAGAGTGACTAGTCATATCTCTGTTTGTTTGTGTGTTTGTAGTGCATACCTTCAGCGGAGATCTCTCTCCAGGGTGTGGGTGGATACATGAAGGCTGCGTTCTGTATCTGCTCGTTGATGTCCTCATCCTCGTTGAAGGGGAATGTGCCCGATAACGACACGTATACGATGACACCCACAGACCACATGTCTAGAGATCTGTTGTAGCCCTTGTTGCGAAGCACCTCCGGGGCTAATATACAATATTATATTTATAACTCGTAGTTAAATTATTTTGACTTTTAGGTTAACTTTCTATACTTTATTATTTCTTCTTAGTTTTGAAATAAAAAAAGAAATATGTTCCAACTTAAACCTCTTTTCCACTGACAGCTACTGCAGTCGCGGTATGTCTCAGTGGCAAAGGGTTTTATATATACAAAATGACTCACCAAGATATGCAGGTGTGCCAACAACAGATCGCCTGAAGGACTTCTCCCCAATGATCCTGGCGAAGCCGAAGTCACACAACTTGACCTGCGGGAACTCATCGTCCGAGGACAGGAGCACGTTCTCCGGCTTCAAGTCGCAGTGCACGATGTTCTTCTCGTGCAGGTGCTTTAGTGCTACTAAGATCTGGAAGAATACGAGTATAACACACATATATATATATATATATATATATATATATATATATATATATATATATTGTTGTAAATAAAATAGATTAAGAAATACTCATTTGACACAAGTTTGACGTTTAATAGGTACGACAAATGTCAAAATGACATTAGTGTCTATGGAAAAATTTTGTGTTTTATAAAATTAAAATTAATTTTTGTTAAAATGTTAATTATTTTTATTTTATCTAAAGCAAATCAAACATAAAGCTTTTTCAGTAAATAATTTAATTTCAACTACAAAAATTAATAACAATTTATTTTTTCATAAAAGAAAGTATTTAGCGAATTTATTCTATACTAGCTGTTGCCCGCGACTCCGTCCACTTGGAAATAAAAAAAACTAACTTATGTGTTATTCTAGCGTATGTATATCCATTGAGTCGTTCTGGATCCATCCATCCAAACATTCGCATTTATAATATTAGTAAGATCCCTTAACATACTTGCTTAAGTAATTATAACTGCCATTTACCTGTGCCACTAAGAATTTAGTGATCCTCTCCGTAAGTCTCCCCTTTTCGTGTGAGAGTATCATCTCCAGCATATCTCCCTTCAGCTTCTCCATCACCACAAATATCCTCTCTGGAGTCTCGAACATTCTCTCCAAGTTGACAACGCCTGGATGTGACAAGTTCTGCAGGATGGCGACTTCGTTCTTCAATTGTGCTTCTTGTTTTGTTGGGAAACGGAGTTTGTCTATCACCTGTGGTTCGAATAAAGAAATTATCGATTTAGTTTTTTTTTAATTATTTATAATAGTTAATTATTATATGCTAGAATCACCATAGACAAACTACATTCATTTCGCTAAAGATCCAAAGTTTCATAATATTTTTTTAGATAAAATTTGCTTCTATTATTGTCTCATACCATTTTCTTTTATCTTACAATATTCAGGAAATTACAATAACATGATTCACGCCCGTAAATCAAAAGGGTAGGTAGAGACCGTGCAGATCTCCATTTTGGACCTAAAACTTCTTCTTCTTCTTTCACTTTTTCTACATTCATACATCTACGTATACATACGTATGGTTTTAGGTGTTAAATAACTGAAAAAATAAAATAGCGCAGTCGTTTTAGAGAGAGAAAAACGTATGGGAAATACATATGTTGGTCTCGCTCTAACGCGACTTACGAGCGTTGTTCGTACGATTCTCGTCTAAATGAATTATTTAGAATGATGAAAACGAGAAAAAATACACAAATGACATATTACCTTAATGGCGACAGGTCTCTGAGTGCGGCGATGCAGTCCGCCGTACACGATGCCGAACTGTCCGGAGCCGAGCACCTCGTCCGGGTAGATCTGGTAGAGCTGCGCCATCTCCGCCGCGCGCCCCGCCCGCCCCGCACCGCCTCCCGACACGCCCGCGCCCTCCCCCTCGCCCTCCACGCCCTCCTCCGCCTCCGCACCGCCCGCGCTCTCCTCCGCTACCATCATAACATGGCAATTATAATTATATTATTCCCTATTTTTTTTATCTTTTGGTGAATAACGAGCAAGCGGCCACCTGAATCTCCATTTGGCCATTCGCCGAATTGCACATGCGTTGTGTACTTTTAATTGACGGAGAACGAAAAGCACAGAAAGTGAATATTTCCCCTTTATCAGCATTCTCTCTTCCGTCAAATACATGTTCCTTTAAATAATAAAATGCTTCCACTTGTTGCGTGTCTTTTGTGAGATCGTGGTATATAGTATCGGTCGAGCGGCACAACGGCTATTTTAAATTTTATATACATACCACCCGCGACTCTGTCCGCCCTGTATTAAAAAAATAACTAGTAGCCTATGTATTCTTCCATACCATGTTCTATATGTATGCCAAATTTCATCGAGATCCGTCCAAACGTTCTGGAGATACCTTCAAAGAAACATCTATCCATCCATCCATTTATAAT